CTCCTACTGATCGCCACCATTTTAAATCGTATGCTCTACTGGTACTGAACTACTTTCATTCTCCAAATGGGTCATATATTACATGTTTCAGTCTTTTTCACATGCTTGCCTTCTGCCTGAAATACAATTATCCTTTCCCTTTCCCTACTCTTCACTAAGACACATCAATATATCCCTAGCTTATCACAGATGTCACATGTCCAAGGACCATTTCCTACACCTCTTCCTTTAGCCCTTCTACCTGTTCCTTTGGCCTTACTTCAGTGGTTGTTCTTATTCTACTCAGCTTGGAAAGAATGTCAGCCTCCTTATCTATATATTAAACTGTTTAATGGAATCCAGGGACCATGTCTTGGATATTTATCCCTGGCACCTCACACAGTCTCTGACATGTAATAGGTACAGAATAAATATTTTAAACTGAGTGGAATTGAATTGATCTGAATTACAATCTTATGGCTAAGGGAGTGCATGCAAATAAAAGATTCAAATGCAAAGTGCCAAACAAGGGCTCATAGCTGCTCAAAAGAGTGAGTGGGCCAGGGTGAGTAGATGAGATAGGACATTTGATACTATCAGTGTTGCATTCATGGGCTCTTATGTTCATTCATTTTGGCCTCCACAGAGATACTGTAAGTGTGGAAGTGAATGATAACAAAATGCAGAGATAGTAGCAGCAGGCCCCTCTTCTGATATGTAATGTGTTCTTTAAAGGACTTGGAAAGTTAGGCAACAGAGGTGTCTGTGTGTGCTTCTGTTGGGGACAGAAGGGGTAATTTTATTCCCACAAAGGTAGGAAACTAGACCTTCTCACATTTATTTTTCTTCTGTTGTGACAACCACTGCTTCATCCCCCATCATGGAACATAGTTTTACAGGTATAAACAAATAATTACTATCTCAATCTGAAGTACATTCCTGTGGGCCACTTTGCCAATATCCAGCATTAATCTAAGGACAATACATGGAAACTCATCTTGCATTATCTGCCCATGAGGGTGGACCAGAGACACTTCTGTCAGATCCAAGAGTCTGTAAAACAGATGGCCACTTTTGTCCATAGAGCATTAAGAGACACCTTTATGGCAGTTTTGGAAAAACATTTTATCCTCTTTTCCAGCCTTCACGTTTTCAATAATGATGAGTTCCAATTGTGAACATCCTATTGCAAAATAAAGAATTTTAATTGTCAAAACAAAAAAAAATGAATATTTACATTTCTGATTTATTTACTTATTCTTTTTAAATAGTTTTATTGATTTAATAGAAGAAGATAGAGAGAGCTAGAAACATCAATGATGAGATGCAGCCACACACTGGAGACCGAGATCACAACCCAGGCAAGTGTCCTGACCGGGAATGGAACCATGACCTCCTGGTTCATAGGTCGATGCTCAACCATTGAGCTACGCCGGCCAGGCTATTTACTTATTCTTTAACCAGAAAGCTAAATACTGGATAGCCTCATGCAAAATTTGACACCTGTCAATCTATAGTGTTAGTTTGTTCAGGACCACTTCTCTTTAAACACAGGCAGCCCTTCATCTAAGTAAAAATGTCACAGATGTCAACCAGAGTAGGAGAGTGCTCTAGCTATCCCAGAAAACTAGGGATTCTGAGTATCTTGCACAGACTCCCTGCCCTTCCTTCCCCTGATGGCTTCTAATCTTTGAACCTGTCTCAAGGGAGCTCACCAGTTCCTAGAATATAAGTGGGTACTGTCTTTCTTGGTCATAATTAATTGTTGGCTGGGGCTATAATGGCTGAATTTCCTACATGCTCTTGAATAAACAAATGAATGGCTGCCTGAGTGAAGGGCCCCAACTCTTCCTTCCCTTATCACAGGGCTGTGACTGGAAGAGGAGGTAGGAAGACATGAACCTTTTGTGAGGAGAGGAAGTTGCCTCTCACCAAAAGAAAACTGCTACAGAACACAACTTGTATTAAGCCAGCTCCAGACTTACGGGTTTAATTCAGAGGCCATCACCTTTCAAAACTTGCCCATGTCCTCACTTTGTCTCCTGCAACCCTCGGAGCCAGGACTCAGCTTGGTTTAAACAAAACAAACAAACAAATAAACAAATACGACACAACACAACATTGCCCTGTTGACTGAAGCTCAACTTTCCTCCCATAAAGAACTTCTCTTGCACAGAGCTCCGTTAGAAGGCCTGAAATGTTCATTCTTCCATGAGCCCTAATAACTAAATCCTGCAAAAGAAAGGTAGTATAAGTGTGTCAGTACCTATTGTATGAAGTGGGAAGTTGTGGAAAGTTGAAAGTGTGACAGCCACAGGCACTGTGCATATAGTTTTGTTGAGAAAATTTCCTCTAATTTGAAAAAAACAAAACAAAACACGTCGTATTAGCCTTCCTGGGCATGGAAAGCCATTTCCTTTTCTGCCAGGAAATTCAGTCTTGCAGTTCTGACCTGAGGAGATGGTGTTATTTCTTTACTGAAGCTAGGACTTGCTTAGTGATTATTTGTTCACTGGGGGCCTTGCAAGATGATATAGGAAAGAGTCACCATCCTATACCCAGATACAACCCACTGTTCTAGTCTTGTTTAGACTACATACAAACCATATTCAATGGAAGTACACAGACATTTTTAGTCAACAGTTAAGTAGGGTCAAATATTTGTCTTTATCAGAAGGCCAGAGGGGGGGAAGAAGAGGCCTGGGTCTAGGTGGGTAAAGGGGGGGGGGGCATCTGTAAAAGTGTAATAAATAAATACATTAATTAATACATTTTATCAGATAAAGAAACAAATGAAAAAATATCAGGAATACACACACAAAATGGATTATTTACCCTGTCGTCAGGAAGCAAACCACTATCTTGTTAAGTAAATGGTGCTTTCACAAATTATCCTATGAAGAGGTTCCTCGTCTTTAAAGTATCTCCTTGAGGAACTGAGGACACAGGTTGTATTTTCTCCAAGTTAAAAAAGAAGTTCTTCAAGGTTGAACATTTTTTCATTGCAAATGTAACATTGAACTCATGGTTGTGAAAGTGGACCCTAGCGTCACGGTGACTAACATAATTTTATCACAGAATCTGAACAAAATCTAGACTCCGAAATATTCCATGAAATTCTACAGCTGTTCTAATACCAGGTGGCTCACCTTCGCCTTTTATTTCCAATTATTTATTGTTAAAATATTTTGCAAATTACTTTCATTAATGACCAAATGAATACACAAGTAAATGAAAAATTAGATTAGTGTTTTAAAACCGATGCCTTAACACATTTATTCATCGATTTAATAGATGTTCACTGAATAATTTCATGTTCAAACTCTATATCAGGGTGATGGCAGTGTGTTGAAGGGTTCAGGAGGAAGCAAAGGGAATAAGATAACAGTCCTGCTTGCTAGGTTCTTGCACCATAGTAGAGGGAATTAGAGTGGAATACAAAGAATTAAGTATGAGGCAGAATGTCAGATGTACTATGAGAAATGCACCCAAAATGCCAGGATGGGGTTAGGGAATGGGTCATTCATATCCAGTTAGTGAGAGTAAAGAAGACAACGCAGAATATCACATTTGAATTAGATCTCACAATGTTACCTGGGACATGATGAAAGAATGTAAATCATAGAATAGTATGAAAAAGGCTGTCAAATCAGAAAAGTGCAGGTTAATTCCATAGACCCTCAGAGAGTTTACATACTTACCCTATAAAATTCAGTGTGTAATTCCTCTGTAGAGAGGATCCCCAGCTTTCATCAAAATCACGAAGGACGTATTTGGTTTTATTTGAACATTAAGATTATACAGTGTCATCTACATAAAATTCATGTTTTTCTCTTTGGTGAAACAACAACAGCAAAGTTCACATAAGTTCATGTTTATGAACCCTCTAGTGCAGATCTTAGAATAGCAAGATATTTGAGTTATTTAATGTGCAACACACATGTTACCCTATGAACAGTTAAGGTATAAAATCAACAATAGCCAAAAAGGAAACATTTGCAACCCCTTCATTTTTAAATCAAGAAAAAGGGACTTTGAGAGGTGATGGGTGATCAAAATCACTCGGGCTTATTACTAGATAGAAGTAAGGCTAATTTTTATAGAGCCCTTCTTAAAAATATGTGAAGAATAGATTTGTATTTACTAGGCAGTCTGAAGTAATTAAACTGTTTTTGGACAATGAGTGTGTATAAATATGTCTGGCAGAACTCTTAGTTTTATTGGAGAGGGCAGAACCTAGACTCAAGAAGGCCAATTGAAAATATATTGCAATGGCTCAAATAGAACTAAATATGATCTAAATCAGAATGATGGCAGAGCAAATGAAAAGGAGGTAGTAGATTCAAAACACTTAATGCTGGTGAACTCCGCAACATTTAGAATGGAATAGATATGGAATGGCAAAGAAGAGGCAGATGCCCCAGATGACTTAGAGATTTCACTCTTGTAAACTGAGAGAAAATCTTTTTAAATTTTTTCAATTATAGTTTATATTCAATATTATTTTATATTACTTTCAGGGGTATAGCATAGTGGTTAAACAATCATATACTTTACAAAGTATTCCTCCGATATTTCCAGTACTCTTGAAGTATGTAACACGTGGGAGAGTCAGTTTCAGGAGGAAGTGAAATTTAGTTTGGGTATGCACGGTTTGATTAACAAAATGAATTTGCCAACTTTGTAACACCATTTATGGCTCTACAGTTAGTTTTCAATAGAGAAATGGCACCAGTCCAATAAAGAAATGGCAACAGCCCAGTTTCATGATCAGAGCTGACATCCATTTATTGGTCTCATACTGACTTCCTACTAGGGTAACAGCATCATGTGACAATAATAGAATGCAGTTAACTGAGTATGTCTTGTGGTCATTATATGGAATAGTAGATGTAGAAAAAATCAGAAGAAATTTTATATTGCATATAGTTTATGATTATTTATTATTATAGCTACATCAATCTGTACAACTTATAAAAATCATGATACTGACTCATTACATATTTAATAAGCTCCTCTAATATACCAATGACTGTAATAGATGTTTTTAAGGGAGAGTACAAAAAATAGTAAGACATAATTCTGAACTTTAAGTGACAGGTAGTTTAGTTAGAATTGTCAGAAATAAATGCAATCACTTATTTCATATTGATGCCATATTGTTTAAATCCAAAGTGCTGGAAGCCTTGTAAAATACGCATATTCCTTTTGCTCTTCCCTTTAAAAGAATTTCCTTCTATTAGAATTTGAAGGCTGGTGAGGATCAGCTGAAAAGCCAAAAACAAACCTTGTCACTATATGATAAAAAGAAACACATGCGGTCTTGTTCCTTCAGCTTTGCGCTTCTCCGTGAAGTTGATGATGGGCTTTGGCTGTAAGAGTAAAATAATCTAGTTTCAGTCTACAGGTATGTGTTCTGAGTTCCAACAGTGATCCAATATGGACTGTCTTAGTATCTGATTATTCTTAGTTCAATGTCTGGGCAAACACATGAGACTCGACACATCACTCCACCTTAAACTCTCTAATTTCTGTCCTGTATGAGAGGTGTACTTCTTCAATATTCTTGAATTTCTACTTTAAGCATCTCTCTGTTCACTCAACTTTTTTTTTTTTTTTTTTTTTTTACTTTTCTATCCTATTGACTATACAAGTTTTACTTTTCTTTCAGTTACACTTTCTTAAGGTCAGAGTGAAACTAAGAGACTAAGAATTTAACAGTAAAACCAGGGTGGGCGCTATTTTCTGACTCTCCTCCCACCATGCCTCTTGTCCTACTGCAAGCTGCAGGTTTCTCTGAAGAGATTCCAGCGTTTGTTTGAAACCCTAGAGCTCTGGACCAACAGCTGGCATATGTCATAATTACTGTAGAGTTGAACTATTCTGAAAGCATTGAAACATAATGAGATTTGCCTGAAAAATTATTATTAGCACATCTTAAAGACTTAGATCAAGTTTTGCCTGTTCTTATTCAAAAGTGTTAAATATGTTAATGGTGTGGCTTGAGACAAGAATACTCTTCCTGCAAGTGTGAATGGCACAGAAATCAATTTGTGGAAGTAAGAACATCTGAACTGTAAATACCAGTATATGTGGTGCTGTTATCAGCAAGTGGAGTTGTTTAGAGAGCAATAATAACCTCTCCCTGATGGTTGGACTAACAACAAAAGGGCATGTCTCAGGGGACTAAATGAGCTTCAAATGATAATTATACCTGAAACTGTGTATCTTAACCCCTTTATTTCAATACCCCATCTTACTGAGGCTTCCAGCAGTTAAGGCTTTCCTTCATAGGAGCAGATGGCCTCCTGGAAAGTAGCTTTGCCTATCTGAAGGCAGTAGACTATAATTATTAAAAAGTTAGTGATCCGGAGTGAGATGATTTTATCTTGAATTAAATTTCACTTGTCACTTACTAGTTGTTTGACCTTAAGCATTATTTAAACCAAGATGTCCTCATCTGTATAATGAGGGTAACAATCAGCTTTGCTTTAGAAGGTTTATGACAATTAGATACATTTAAATTGCTTAGCAAAATGCCTGGCTCTTAACAAATACTCAATAATATTGCTATTGTTATTATCATTAATTGTTATTATTCATCCTAATTTCTTATAGAGTATTAAGCCATCTATCCATGAAACATCTCCCCTAGTGACTCATTTCAGTAACCCCTCTGACATATTGATGTATCTTCCTTCTCCAAGACTTTGCTTCTGTGTGTTGATCTACAGTCCTGTGCCACTCCACTCATACCTACTTGAATCCTGCTACCATGATTGTGTAACATGAAATTTGTGGCAACTGATTGACTCACCCTCTTTTTCTATTTCTGACATTTGGTTATGTCTAACTCAGAGTTGTATCTTTTCTAGCATCACCTTCTTAAAAAGAATCAATGTGTGTATGTACTTTACCCTGCCAACAGGAATGATTGCATTCTATGTCACCCTCATACTTTATTAATTTGAAACCAACTAAGGAAATGAAATTAGACTTTTAGGAGTATAATTGGAAAACGAAATCTTCCACAAAGAGTACTTTGAAACATAATTAATTTTTCAGTTTAAGGACATAGTTTGCTATTTAGACTTACAGAAGGAAAAGAAAAATGTTTTAATGATTCCTACTTTTTTTAAAAAAAGGAAAGGGGATTTGCTAAAGTCAATGTATAGGTCCATAAGGGTGAATCATTATCCCTAAAGTTGGATCATGGAAGTAACATTTTGTTAATCTATTTTTAATATGGATTCCTCCCTAAGAAATATATAGTCTAGCAAGAGAAATCATGTGTATGTAAACATAACATAAGGCAGAAAATTGGTTATAGAAGATGTTTAAGATAAAGTGTTAAGGGAGCTCTGAGGAGAAAAAACAAATTTCCCAATATAAAATCAGAATAGGCTTAGAAATTGAGCTGGGTCTTGAAGAATTAGGTTATGTGATTATGTCTTGAATATTTGTTGAATACATTACACAAGTGTAGTGTATACAGTCAGTGAGTTTGTCTGTGGTTAACTGTTAAGCTCCCTGTCATCCTATCATGCAATTTCTATTTTTCTACCCTAAATATTCCTAAATCAAATAATGGTATCCTGAATATTTGGTTGCCTTATTTTTCTGTATAATAAAAGCCAGCAATTGTTTTCTCTAAAGAGCCAGATAGTAAATATTTTAGCCTTTGCAGTCCATACAATTGCAGCTGCTCAGTTCTGATGTAGTGTAAAAGAAGCCATAAACAACATGTAAGTGATGTGCATGGTTGTTTTCAAACAAAACTATGTTTACAAAAACAGATGCCAAGCCAGATTTGGCCTATGGAGGGGGGTGGGAGGTGGTAGTTTATTAATCTCTGCTCTAAAACATAGGCTTACTGATCAGTCCAAATAAAATATTTCTGTTATCTGATATTCATGAAAATGAAACTATAACAAATAGGGAATCAGCATTCCTACTAGCCCGAATACCTAGCTGTCAATAACAGTAAAGGTCTTGGCATTTTACTCTAATAGCAAGTGCATACTTTAGCCCAGTGGTCGGCAAACCATGGCTCGCGAGCCACATGTGGCTCTTTGGCCCCTTGAGTGTGGCTCTTCCACAAAACACCACGTGCGGGCGCACGTACAGTGCGATTGAAAGTTTGTGGCCCATGCGCAGAAGTCGGTTTTCGGCCCGGGGGAGACTATTTTGAAGAAGTGGCATTAGAAGAAGTGGGGGATATCGGTCGGTCAGACAACAGGAGATGCGGTACAGGCGGGCCATGGGATACGCAGCGCAGGGGAGGTACATTGTTTTGAGGTACATTCCCTGAGGTCGACCCCTTCCAACTCTCCCATCCACACCCGTCTATCTGAAACAAGTATACAAGACGAGTGTGGATGGGAGAGTTGGAAGGGGTCGACCTCAGCGAATGTACCTCAATCAGATTGAGGATGTTTTTAGCAAAGGCCAGCTCAGGAGTACCCTAATTAAGTTAATAACAATGTACCTACCTATATACTTTAAGTTTAAAAAATTTGGCTCTCAAAAGAAATTTCAATTGTTGTACTGTTGATATTTGGCTCTCTTGACTAATGAGTTTGCCGACCACTGCTTTAGCCTGACACATTTTTAAGGATATTGGTGTAAGACACAAGATTTCTGGGTCAGAAACAAAGGAAAATTTATTACTAACAGTCATTGCAGAGTCAGAGCATCAGTATTTCTTGTTCCACTTCCCCACATCTTAATTCTCACATGGCATCACAAAAAGAGCTAGGCAATAACTGTACACAAGGAAAAGAAAACCGGAGTTTAGAGAACACGAATCTTCTATAATGAGCAATAAGCCTGCCTGACATTTTCCCCTGTGAGATACGTTAACTTTATTACACTAAGCAGTAACTATGTCTGCCCTTTGCTCTGGAGAGAGATATCATCCCTATTTTTCAAATATGTTTATCATACATGCATTCTTGAATAGATAATGCAGAACAAAAGCTGATAGCACCTCTATCTGTGAGATATGCAACTGCCAAAGAGTCATGGAGAATTGTCTGCTATCCCAGCATCCCAAATTATCCCCATGCTTTTGCAGGTCTTGAATCCTTTGATAGAAATGCAGGGTTTAATGAAACACACTTCAATTTAAATGTCCCAGAACTTACCAAAACAAGTATGTAAAAATGTAGAAAATGGGCAGAAGCACGCTGGACCTTTTTAATTTAAGACCCAAGCTAATCAAGAACAATGATGGTCATCAGCTCTTTTTCTATCCCATCCCTGGAACTATATTTCTTCAAATGGTATTATATTAAGGAGATCCAAGATGATGGCAGAGTAAATGGAATCTACACAACCCCCCCCCCCCCTCAAGACCAAACTGGAATTATAACTAAATTATGGAAAAATAATTCTAAATAACCAATTGAAGATTAGTTGGAGAGAAGAATTATAACAAAGGACTTAAAGAAGAAACCACATGGAGACTGGTAGGAAATGCAGAAGTTCAAGAGAGCTGTCCAAGCTCTCATAGATGGAACTGAAGGTTTGGAAGGATATCTCAGCTGTTGGATATTCCCCGTGAGCAGTGTTCCCCTGAAGCAGTGTTTGCTTCAAGGAGAAGGAGAAGGAGAAAAAGAACAGAGGAACATAATTAAAAAAAAATAAAATGGAAATAAATACAAACCTATCAATAATCACTTTAAATGTAAGTGGCTTAAATGCTCCAATCAAAAGACAGAGGGTTGCTGAATGGATGTAAAACAAGATCCACAGATATACTGTCTTCAAGAGACCCAAGTCAGAATGAAAGATACACATAAACTAAAAGTAAAGGGATGGCAAAATAAACTTCATGCACATGGGGAAAAAAAAGCTGGGTTAGCAATACTTACATGTGACAAAATAGACTTAATAACCTAGGCTATAGTAAGAGACAAAAAAGAGGAAACTACAACGGCAAAGAAAGCAATCCAACAACAGTATATAATCCTTATAAACATGTATGCGCCCAACATAGGAGCACCTAAGTAGGTCATGCAAATCTTGATGGACAGAAAGTGACAGATTGACTGTTTTGCAGTCATGGTAGAGATTTTAATATCCCATTTATGTCAATGGGTAGATCTTCCAGGAAGAAAATCATAAAGGAGACAGTGGACTTAAATGACACAAGAGATCAAATGGATTTATTTGATATCTTCAGATCACTTCACTCCAAAGAAGCAGAATATGTATTCTTTTCAAGTACACATGGAATGTTTTCTAAGTTGGACCACATAGTCAAACATAAATAAGTCTCAGTAAATTTCAGAAGATTGAAATCATACCAAGCATCTTCTCTTAACATAATTCTATGAAAGTAGAAATAAATCACAAGAAGAAAGCTGAAAACACAGCGAAATATTGAGGCTATATAATAAGTTACTAAACAATGAATGGGCTAACAATGAGATCAAAGAAGAAATCACAACTACCAGAAAACAAAGGAAAGTGAACATACAACAACCCAAAAACTGTGGGACACAGAAAAAGCACTCGTAAGACAGAAATTTATAGCATTAGAGGCCTATATCAAGAAATAAGGTAAAGCTCAAGTATCCAATCTAATTTTGCACTTAAAGGAACTTAAAACAGAACAACAAACAAAGCTCAAAGTGCGTAGAAGGAAAGAAATAATAAACATCAGAACAGAAATAAACAAAATAGAGTATTAAAAAAATGCTAAAGTTAAATGAAACCAAGAGCTGGTTCTTTGAAAACATAAACAAGATCGACAAAACTTTAACCTTATCAAAGGTGTGTGTGCGTGTGTGAGAGAGAGAGAGAGAGAAAGAGAGAGAGAGAGAGAGAGAGAGAGAAAGAGAGAGAGAGGAGGAGAGAGAGGATCTTCCCTATTCAGAAACCTTAACTGATTGTAGCATCGTCCCATGCACCAAAAAGGTATGGGTTCACATCCCTGTCAGAGCACATATCTACCTTGCAGGTTAGATCCCCATTCAGGGCATGAATGGGAGGCAACCAATCAATGTTTCTCACTCACATCAATATTTCTTTCTCTCTCTCACTCATCCCCTTTCTCTCTCTCTAAAATTACTAAACATATCCTTGGTGAAGATTTTTTTAAAAAAGAGGATTCAAATAAATAAAATCAGAAATGAAAGAGAAGTAACAAATCATACTAAAAAAAATACAAAGGATTGTAACAAAATATTATGAACAACTATATGCCAACAAATTGAATAACCTGGATTCAATTGGATAAATTCCTAGAAACATACAATCTCCCAAAACTGAATCAGGAAGAATAAGAAAATCTGAATAGACAGATTACAACTTGTGAAATTGAAACAGTAATAAAATAAAACTCCCATCAAACAAAAGCCCTGGCCCACATGGCTTCACAGATGAATTTTACCAAATTTTCAAAGAACTAACATCTATATTCTTAAACTATTCCAACAAATTCAAGAGGAAAAGAGACTCCCATGCTCACTTGATGACACTAACATCATCCTATTTCCAAAACCAGATAAAGAGTCTACTATTTATGTGCCACTTATTTAACAAAGAAAGAAAATTATAGGCCAATATCCCTGATGAATATAGATGCTAAAATCCTCAATAAAATATTAGCAAACCAAATCCAGTAATAACTTAAAAAGATCATACACAATGATCAAGTGGGAATTCTTTCAGGGAGGCAAGGTTTGTGCAATATCCGCACATCAATAAATGTGATGCACCATGTAAACAAAATGAAGGATAAAAACTACATGATCATATCAATAGATGCAGAAAAAGCATTTGATAAAATTCAGCACCCATTTATGATAAAAACTCTCAGAAAAGTGGGAATAGAGGAAATATACCCCAATGTAATAAAGGCCATATATGACAAAAACCACAGCCATCACCATACTTGATGGGCTATAAGCATTCCCCTTAAGACTGGTACCAAGACAGGGATATCTGCTTTCACTACTATTATTGAACACTAGAGGCCCGGCACATGAAATCGTGCACAGGTAGGGTCCCTAGGCCTAGCCTGTGATCAGGGCCATCTTGCCGCCACCCACCCTGGTTCCCTATTTGCCATCTGGTGATAGGAGTCTGCAGGCGGGGGAGGGGGAAGGACCAAGAGGTCGGCTGTTCTGCCCACTTGGCAGTCCCGCCCCAAAACCTGATTCTCCATTCGCCATCTGACAATGGGAGCCTGATGGTTGGGAGAGGGACCAAGAGGTCGGCCATTGCTGCCCACTTGCCAGCCCCCTCCTGGCCACGGGTTGCCCTCTGTGTGTGGGTGAATGCCAAGGTGGGGGCCTTGGCCTGGCACCACCATATCCCCCGCCACCCACCCCAGTTTCCATTTGCCATTAGCAATAGGAGCCTGCGGGCTGGGGAAAGGGACCAAAAGGTGGTCAGTGCACCTCATAGTGACTGGTCAAGTGGTCATTCTGGTTGTTCTGCTATTATGGTCACAGGATAAGATAGCACTGGAAATACTAGCCACAGCAATCAGACAAGAAGAAGTTTGCAGGTAACATGATACTGTACAGATAGAACCCTAAAAATTCTATCAAAAACTACTCTGATTGATAAATGAATTAAGCTAAGCAGCAGGATACAAAATAAATATCCAGAAATCAGTTGCATTGTTTAGAAAATAATAATGAACTATCAGAAAGTAAAACAAAAAAAGTAATCCCATTTATAATTGCTTAAAAAAGGATAAAATACATAAGAATAAACTTACCAAGGATGTAAAAGGGCTGTATAATACACTGAAGAAAGAAATTGAAGAAGATACAAATAAGTGGGAACATATCTGTGTTCATGAATAGGAAGAATTAACATCATTAAAATGTCCATACTACCCAAAGCAATCTATAGATTTAATGCAATTACTATCAAGATTCCACTGGCATATTTCACAGAACTAGATCAAATATCCCCAAAAATTATATGGAAATAGAAAAGACCCCAAATAGAAATAGCAGTTTTGAGAAAAAAGAGCAAGTTTGGAGGAATCATGCAACCTAATAAACTGTACTGCATGGCCACAGTAATTTAAACAGCATGGTACTGGCATAAAAACAGACAGATAGATCAATGGAACAGAATAGACACCAGAAACAAGCCCATGACTTTATAGTCAATTAATATTTGGTAAAAGAGGAAAAAAATACAATGGGATAAATACAGTATATTTAATAAATAGTGTTGGGAAAATTGGACAGAAATATGCAAAAATATGAAACTAGACTACTTTCTTACACCACACATAAGAATAAACTCAAATGGATTATAAACTTAAATGTTAGACTCAAAACCATAAAAATTCTAGAAGAAAATATAGGCAGTAAAATCTCAAACATTCCTCATAGAAATATTTTTTCTGATATATCTATTTGGGCAAGGGGAAAAAAAAAGAAAAACCTCAAATGGGACTACATCAAACTAAAAAGTTTTTGCATAGCAAAGGAAACCATCAACTGAATGAAAAGACAACCCACTGAATGGGAGTACCTATTTGCCAATACATCTGATAAGGGCTTAATATAAAAAATGTATAAAGAAGTAATAAAACTCAACACCAAAAAACAAACAATCCAATTAAAAAAATGGGCAAAGGACCTGAGTAGTAACTTATCCAAGAGGACATACGGATGGCCAATAGACATATGAAAAGATGCTCAACATCACTAATCATCAGAGAAATACAAATTAAAACCACTATGAGGTATCACCTCACACCTGTCAAAATGGTTATCACCAATAAATCATCAAACAACAAGTGTTGGTGAGGATGTGGAGAAAAGGGAACCCTAGTGCACTGTGGTGGGAATGCTGATTGGTGCAGCTACTGTGGGAAGTAGTACAGAGTTTCCTCAAAAAATTAAAAGTGTATCTGCCTTATGACCCAGCAATTCCATTTCTGGGAATATATCCAAAGAATTCCAAAATACTGATTCAAAAGAATATATGCACTGCTATGTTCATTGCAACATCATTTACAATAGCCAAGATTGGGAAGCAGCCCAAGTGCCTTTCAGTAGGTGAGTGGATAAAAAAGCTGTGGTACATTTACACAATGGAATACTACTCATCAGTAAAAAGGAGAAAATTTTACCCTTTGTGACAGTATAGATCAAGGGTCCTCAAACTTTTTAAACAGGGGGCCAGTTCACTGTCCCTCAGACTGTTGAAGGGCCGGACTATAGTTTGAAAAAAAACTATGAACAAATTCCTATGCACACTGCACATATCTTATTTTGAAGTAAAAAAACAAAACTGGAACAAATACAATATTTGTATTTGCATGTGGCCTGCGGGCCGTAGTTTGAGGACCCCTGGTATAGATGGACCTGAAGAGTATTATGCTAAGTGAATAAGCTAGTCAGAGAAAGACAAGTACTGCATGACTTCACTCATATGTGGAATCTAATGAACAAACTCAACTAAGAAGCAAAATTGAGACAGACTCAAAAATAGAGAGCACGCTGACAATTGGGGGCAGGGGTGGGGTGGAGGGATTGAGCAAAAAAAGAAAAAAAGAGAGAAATAACTCCGGGACATGGACAACAGTGTGGTGACTGCTGGGGGAGGGAGGTGGGGTCAGTTGGAAGAGGGTGTGGGGGGGGGGGTTAGTGGTGATTTCAAAAAGTAAAATAAAAAATAAGGAATAGATATCTGCACAAAAAGAGATTACATTAAAATCAAACTATTTAAATGCCACTTATTTAACTACTAGAGGCCCGGTGCACAAAAATTTGTGCACTCGGGGGGGGTGGGTGGGTGGGGGGACATCCTTCAGCCCGGCCTGTGCCCATTTGCAGTCCAGGACCCCTTGGGTGATGACCACCTGTTAACTTAGACCCACTCCCCGGGGGATCAGGCCTAAGCTTGCAGTCAAACATCCTTCTGGCAGCCAAGGACCCCTCAGGGGATGTCCAACTAAAGGCTTAGGCCCCCTGAGGGATTGGACCTAAACTATTAGTTGGACATTTTTAGTGCTGCCATGGAGGTGGGAGAGGCTCCTGCCACCACCTCTGTGCTGGCCAGCCATGAGCCAGCTTCTGACTAAGTGACACTCCCCATATGGAAGTGCACTGACCACCAGGGGGCAGCTCCTGCATTGAGCGTCTGCCCCCTGGTGGCCAGTGTGCATCATAGCAACTGGCCATTCTCTTTAAATTTTTATTTTCAGATAAGTGCTTATAACTGCACTATTATATATTTTCTATTATATCATTTAGAATTAAGATATTTTTTAATTGAACCCTTGTAAATTTTAGCACAATTTAATAAATTATGCTAGAAGCAATTAGGAGATTTTTCATGTAATGCTGATACATTTCAATTAATATTTTATTAATTTTTAAGTTTCTGATAGTTTAATTTGAAATAATCTCATACATGTAAAAAAACTATAAAATACTATAGCATATTATATGTGCCCTTCACCCAATTTCTTAGGTGTTAATAATTTAAACATAACCATTATACAACTAACAAAATTTGGAATATATTTTTCTTATAATCTCTTTAATGTTACTTACTGTATTTACTTTGTTTTGGTTAATCTTCACCCAATGATATTTTTCCATTGAATTTTAGAGAGAGTGAAGGGAAAGGGAGAGACACATTGATTGGCTGCCTCCTGCACATGCTCTGATAGGGACTGGGGATCAAGCCAGCAACTGAGGTACATGCCCTTGACTGGAATTGAACCGGGGACCCTTCAGTCCAAGGGCTAATGCTCTATCCACTGAGGAAAACAGGCTGCAGCTTCATTCATTTACTTTAATCTATACGTGTCCTTATATTTAAAGTGGGTTTTGTTTTTGATTCACCCTCATAATCTGTCTTTTAATTGGTGCATTTATGCCACTGACTTTCAGAGTGCTTACTTATAGAATTACTGCCATATCTGGTGGCTCCTGGGGCTTGTGGGGCCAGTGTGCCTGCAGCTGGGGCCAGATCCAGTCCCGGGCGGCAAGCAAGTGGCTTCTGGTGTCACCCACGGGGCCTGGATGGCAGCTGGCGCTGGTGGCTCCCACTGTCCCACCCTGCCTGCAGTATGCAAATTAGCTGCCATCTTTGCTGGCGGTTAATTTGTATATCTCGCTGATTGAGCCGATGGGAGGCGTAGTGAAGGTATGGTCAATTACCATTTTTGGCTATTATTAGATAGGATGGTTTTATACATGTGTATATAGGTTTGTATATGTGTATACATATATGTAAAAGTGTCCTTTTTGTACTTATCAGACTTTACTGGAAAAATGATATGAAACTGAAAATAAGTTAAAATGCCTCAAATTTTAAGTAAATTAACTAGAATTTCAAATTTTTTTATAAGAGACACCTTCTTAGAATGTTTAAATTTAAATTAGAATCTCTATAATCACATTGCTTGGTAAGAGATGACCTATACTTTTCACAATTTGCAATACTGAGAAATAGCGATAGATGTACATAGAACTAAGCTGACCAGGGACTATAGACAGAATTAAAACATTTCTTAATTTTAAATTTTATTTCTTTTTCAAGCAAAATATCTCACATATTTATTACTGAACCAGTCTACCAACAAAGAGGCTTTGAAATAAATTAAAAAGCCATTATTTTCTCAGTAAAACCTATTCAGATAGCGGTGGCTGTTTCAATTTGGTACAGCAAGATGTTAATGACCTTGATGCAGCATAAACATATGAACCATTCCTTATAGACCTACCTTGGCTCTTCTCCAATGTCTATTTCTGAATTGTACTTGATTTTATCACCCGTTTTTCATAAAAATCCATGAGAAGAAATGCAAAATCCTGCTTCCCTTTCTTGGCCAGGAATTGCTTGTGAGAAGACATGTGAGGAAGAAGGCCAACAGGTCATGAAGGGGGCCCATAACTGCAGAAAAAGGGAGGGATGTTCAATAATTTTTTAACAGACTACATTTTGAAACGCAATGCCAAGGATATTTTATAGAAATGAACAATGTGTGAATTTTGCTCTCGTAGTCACTCTTTAGGCCTTTGCACATTGCTATGACAGTATACTACATTCTATGGAGGAAGCAGGGTGTAGGATTGCGATCAGTCCTTGCAAAAGGCGCTATGCACCATCAGGACGCATACCCCATACACACGGATAAGCAGAATGCATAAACATGAGAGCAGCCTGGTCCATGACAAGCAGAATGCTAATGACTGGGAACTGAGAGAAAGGTGCCTTGTGCTACTCTGCTCCCTTCCAAGAACACATTAGTGTCTACTTTAAACAGTTCGCGGAATACGAGGAGAAATGTGCATCTGTGCAAAGGGCAAAATGATGTAGGTGTGTGTGTGCTCACTTCTAAAGACTATCCTCCTTACCCCATTGACTTTTTGGGAAACATATACATAGTTACTGTGAAACTTCAGCCATTTTTAGCTTGAACTAAAGACAACTGATTCATTTGACAGATATTGAATCATGTCCTTCCTGTGCATAGGAATTCTTCAAGTATGTCCCTGTTTATAGGTATGGACATCAAGATTCCCACAAAATGCTATTGATGTGTCACTGCCATGCATCATGGAAATGCTAGAGAGGATTTGGTGATGAGAAAATACAGCTGTGGCAGGCACCAGGTTTTAAGTTTTACTTTCACCATGCTTGCACTTTGTTCTGCTTTTAGAAGCAGCATGATGTCAATCACATTTAAATCAGATGAAAACCTGAATCTTCATATTAATTAAAGTTCAATGGATTCTTTATAAAGAATACATGAAAAGATTAGTAGTGATGGAGACAGAGGCAGGTCACGTGGGGTAGATTTTCTGCAGATTAACTGTGGCTGAGTTGAACTTCCTCCTGGGTTTTTTGGACTGATTCCAAATTTAGAAAGAGATTGACAAACAATGTTACTTTATTCTGCCTGTGGTTTTTTTTGTTGTTGTTGTTGTTGTTGTTGTTGTTGTTTTGGGTTTTTTGTTTTTCTCTTGTAAAGAGGAGCACAAACTAAGGGAGAAGAAATGCTTTCAATGAGTAATGATGTAGACAAGTTCCTGTGTGTGTGTGTGTGTGTGTGTGTGTGTGTGTGTGTGTACTATGGTTCTCCCATGAAATAACAAATATTTGAGGGGGGAAAAAGCTGCTCTGTGTGCATGAATCTCTAGCAGCATAAGACAAGAAACATTAAAGTCTACCCCCCCACCCCCCAAATTCCCTATTTCAGCTATTAACAGGTGCCTGTGACTGCCGCCTGAGGATTCCATTAAAGCAGAACCTGCCCAAGTTCCTATATCATCACCAGGTAATCAGCTAAATCCATCTGAGTTTAATTATTAATTTTCTAACTCATAAATCAAAATTGTTAAAACTGTATTTGGCAGAGGGATAGATAAAAAATAAATCAATACTATGTAGGTGTGTATAGTCTTACTAAAATCTAAATTTGAACTCAAAAGAAATTCAAATTATGCCTCCAATGGACTGCCTGTTACCAATTCTAAAGATTTATAGAATCTGTCACTCTGAGTGGGTGAGTTAGCTTTTGTTCTTTTTCTGGCCTCCTTGGGTTCTGCCTGTCCCCATCCTGTCAGCTGTCTTCTTCCCATATGGTTTCCAGAATGATCCTGACTATAGAATGTACAGAGATTCTCTGTGCCCTTAGGAGCATCAGATTTCTAATGCCTAGGGCTTTCCACTTTCACAATCACTGCTGCTATAGTTACTGCTAGTTATTACTATTAATGTGCCTACTTTATCTATCTGTCTCTTCGTATTTGGACTGCTCATTACAATACAATGGTCTCTAGTTAGGAAAACCTAAATTATGCTTTTAATCTTTCACACTTTGCTTTTGGTGCACCAATCTGTGATGGCCCCTGTTTCCCCACATTGAATTAATTCCTCTTGTGATCCTGTTTAAATCTCCTTTCTCAAGGCTTTGCTAGCTGTTTGATCAGTTGGCATACTCAAAGTGGAGTTTAAGATATTCCGTCCTTAGGACACAATATATTTCTTGACAGTGATTCTCCAATTATAGAGCAAGAACTGATAATAGTACATAAAAATAAACCAGGTATGACGGAATTTACAAAGTCATTAGTGAGGCATTAACAAAAATCACATAAATATAAAATTGTGTTAACATTTTAAAAAAAGGAAAAGCAAAAGCTTAGGTTTTTATCATGGTAGAACTGAGATTCTTTGATGTGGTGATTGGTTAAAATAAGACCTGTAAATGTTATGAACTATAGCTCTGGTCACTGAGCAATGTGATTCCACTAGACGCATCTGCCTTCCTTACCATCATATCCTCACATTGTAATTGTACCTCTATTGCTATATAACACAAAAAACATTGTACCCTGTCCTTGTGTTTTTGATAAGAATGAATTGAATGGTTTCCAAGGACAGTGCCTCTCTGAAATGCTTCTCCCCAGAAAACCATTGAAATTTATCACTGCTGTTTGTTACTATTTTTTTTTTAAATGCCCCAAACATCAAGGCAATGGAACAATGAGTAACATGTCCATGTAAATATGCATTTGAAGAGCTGACATAATAACAAAAATTGTCTTTTAAACATTTTACTATTTTATGCTTCTATCTATATGATGAAAGTCTAAATGGACATTACAGTGGAATGACCAGAACGACTGGTCACCATGATGCTCACTGACCACTAGGGGGCAGACGCTCAATGCAGGAGCTTCCCCCTGATGGTCAATGCACTCCCACAGTGGGAGCGCCACTCAGCCAGCAGCCAGGCTCATGGTTGGTGAGCACAGTGGTGGTGGCAGGAGCCTCTCTCACCTCTGCGACAGCGCTAAGGAGCAGCTAGCCAAGCAGTAAGAAGCAGAGAGCAGGCAGGCGATAAGGAGCAAGGGGTCCTGTACTGCGAGAAGGTGCAGGCCAGGCTGAGGGGCCCCCATTGCACAAATTTCGTGCACCAGGCCTCTAGTATTATAATAACACTAGAGGCCCGGTGCACAAAATTCATGCACTGGGGGGATGTCCCTCAGCCCAGCCTGCAGCCTTCCAATCTGGGAACCCACGGGGGATGTCCGACTGCTGGTTTAGGATATCGGCAGTCAGATATCCCTCTTACACTCTGGGACTGCTGGCTTGTAACGACTTCTGCCTGCCAGCCTGATCACCCACTAACCGCTCCCCTGCTGGCCTGATTAACACCCAACTGCTCCCCTGCCAACCCCATCGCCCCCAATTGTCCTCCGCTGCCAGTCTGATCACATCCCCAACTGCCCTCCTCTGCTAGCCAATTTGGTTCTGATTGGTCGGTTTCCATGCCAGTAAGCATCAAAATCTCTGCCTCCTATGCAGCCATTGGCTCCTCACACTTCACCCAGATTTGGTTCTGATTGGTCAGTTTCTATGCCAGTCAGCGTCACTGGGCCTATCAACGAGGCCTGATCAGAAAGGTGGGGCTAATCAGCAGTCCTGGTGGAGGCCTGGAGAGAAATGGAGGCATGGCTGCTGGCCAGACCGGGAGAGAAAGAGAGAGTCAAGTGCTGATCACCAGATGCCACAGAGGCTATGGATCAGACCCTGCTTCTCTCTTCAGGCCTCTCTCCGGGCCTGATCTGTAGCCCCCTCAGCAATCAGTGCTGGATTACCACGCCCACTGCCATAGCTGTCAGTGCTGGGTCACCACGGCGACCCAGTGCTGACTACAGGACTGACTTCTGGTTTGTTGAGCCTCTGGTTATGACGGACTCATGGTTTTTATATATTAGGATATCATTGAATTGCCATAAGCAAATAAGACAACTGCTGGTTGGGTTTAAAGAAGCATGGCATTATCTACAGAACTCTAAATCATTGGAGTAGACAGGGACTTTTAAAAAACTAAAAAAAAGCCGAAACCGGTTTGGCTCAGTGGATAGAGCGTCGGCTTGCGGACTGAAAGGTCCCAGGTTCGATTCCGGTCAAGGGCATGTACCTGGGTTGCGGGCACATCCCCAGTAGGGGATGTGCAGGAGGCAGCTGATCGATGTTTCTCTCTCATCAATGTTTCTGACTCTCTATCGCTCTCCCTTCCTCTCTGTAAAATATCAATAAAATATATATAAAAAAATAAATAAATAAACTTCTTTAAAAAAAAAACTAAAAAAAAATGATCTAATGATGTATAAGTTAAAAAATAAGAAACAAAGACAGGAAAAGAGCAATAAAATAGGAAGGGAGCTTGGTAGGCTATATGAAGTAGAAATGAGCAGCATTAAACTTTCAATCATGCAATTTGGTTGCAATTTTTTAAAGTCCAGTAAATAATTTATCTGATATAAAATCTGGTACACTAAATAATTAGAAAAAATAAAGTTTCATGATATTCTATCAGTGGTATTTATTACTTGAGAAATAATATAAAACCCATTTTGTTCTCCCTCTCGATTTCATCTAACTTATTTAGCACTTAGTGAAACAGACAAGTAAATAATCCTAACTGAGACAGATGATAAATTCTGTAGAGATAAAATGTTTTTTCAAATACTAAAGGTCAAAAAATGTATTTATAGCATAAGAGTAAATCTAACCCAAAGGAAAATAATTTTGAGTGGTAATTATGTGCCTGTCATTATTCTCAACTGGTATGCCCTTAGTCAGCAAAATTAGAGTTAACTCTCTATAAGATAGTAAAATCAAAATATGTGAAGAATGGCTATTTATAGTGAATGCTTGAGCTTTTAAAAATCATGATGGTTTGGCTATAGCTGGTTTGGCTAGTCGATAGAAAGTCAGTCCACGAACTGAAGAGTCATGGGTTTGATTTTCAACAAGGGCACATACCTGGGTTGCAGGCTCAATCCCTGAGGTTGAGGGTCAGGTGCATGAGGGAGGCAGCCAATTGATGTGTCTCTCTCACATCAATGTATATATCTCTCTCTCTGTCTCTCCCC